CAGCGACTGAAGGTGAGAGAACGGTGAGATGCTGTGTCACACACGTTACACTGACAAGCATGGAAATGTCTCAAGAGGCGTTTGTTGTGTGTTGATGGTGTGGGGAAACAGCAATTCTCAGAAATAGCTTCCCAGGTTGAAATTGTCAGAAGCCCTTTGGAAAACAGTCAGCAATACAGATGCTCCTGGACTGATGATGTGACTACGTCCCAATAGACCCATCGTAAGTCGAAAATAACCTAAGCAGAAATGAATTTGATACCCCAATAAACCCATTGTAAAATCTAAATATCCTAAGTCGAACCACCCTAGAAACACATGTGGCCTGCAACCCTGCAAGTGTACTTGTGAGAATATTCCTTACAGTAACTCTTCCATGAGAGCACCAGGAGACATCTGAGGAAGCTCACTGTGACTTGGTTTGTAACATCCTGCATGCCCATCTGCAGGGAGGTGGACGAGCATGGTGGCTTATTTATGCAATGGTGCACCATGCAGAAGCTAAAATGAATGACTGACATTTGCATCAACTGGATGCTCTTCAAAACAGGATGAGCAAAAAATGCAAGACGAGAATATTAGATTAAATGATGTAGATCTAAAAAGACACACACTCTATTCTGTATTGCCGTGTGTGTGTGTGCGTGTGACACACACAGACAGATGCAGTCACAGTGAGCGAACGTGGGCTGTGGGGTTATGACCTGAGTTGGCTTCTCCACCCCCTTGCAAGGCTGAGTGAGGTGGCCAGGTGGATACACTGGCTTTCTGACATATTGGGGACTATTCTTAGTAACTGTTATTTTACTTCCAAATTCTAGATGACTGAGAATTCATGTGAAAGAGGAACTCCAAGACAGTGCAGACAGTGCAAAGTTCAGTGTTTCCTGAACGGAAGAAGAGGAGGTCATCTGAAAAGGACAGATGACTGGGAGGAGGAAGAAAAAATGATGATTAGATATAAGAAAGGGGCAAAATATCTCACCAGAAAACCCTCTGCTCCTCAGCTCCATGAAACAAACATGCCACTGAATCCACCTTTTCCTGGGCAAAGAGGTGTTTCCCAAAAGTGCTCCATAGAGCGTGTGTTCTGCAGGATGTTAACAGTCATATGCCAAATTCCCTTGGGCAGCACTGGGTTAAAAAGTTAACCATGGTTCCTTGCCAAAGAACTTCTCAGAATTCTTCATGCTTATGTGCACTGTGCACCTCCAGGAGGGGGATGTGATAAGCAGTTTCTCAAACTTGTTGTACCATGAGTCCATTTTCTGGGGAGAAAGTTTTGGGACCAATATTCCAGGGCATACTTTGGGTTAAGACAAAATGTAAGATTAATTTGTTATCAGCCATTAACACCTTAGTATGAATTAGTGTGTGTGTGTGTGTGTGTGGTTAAGACAAAATGTAAGATTAATTTGTTATCAGCCATTAACACCTTAGTATGAATTAGTGTATGTGTGTGTGTGGGGGGGTGCTTATTAGATTTGTCCACTCACCTAACAGGATACAAACTAGCCAGATTCTCTGGAAGCTGTTTAACATCACTGCAATCTAAGACTTCTTCCTTCCACAAGGTCAGAGGTACCCGGAGAACCAGCTGTAGGAGCTTTGCCACAGGTGGTTGAAATGCGGGAGAAAGCCAAGGAGGAAGTGTGGAAACCACACTCCTCTGGGATGCGGGCAGAGCTCCTGGACCATGCTGTGCTGAGAGGCCTGCACACACTCTACAAAAAATCCTGAATTCACATATCCTTAATGTTACCTGCAGGATAATCAGATTACTCTCCCACACCAGGCACTAGATACACAAAAGAATTATTTTTAACTTTTCAATTGTGAGATAGAACATACAAATATATGTATGTACATGTATATATGCACACACACTCACATATGCAGAAAAATTCACAAAACACCTGTATGGCCGCCACCCGAGTCAAAAACAGAGCACTGCCAGTACCCTTGACCCCCACCTTTCCCAATCAACCCTCCCCACCGGCCCCCAGTAATTGCTATCCTCGTTTTTAGGGTAATTCTTTTCTTGCTATTGTTTATAGTTCCACTACTATATGTCTCCATAAACACTATAATTCCAAACTTTGTGGATTGGCCAGACATGCTGTTTCTGGCTTCTCTCCTTCAACATCGTACTTATGAGATTCATCCATGTTGCTCTGTGGGCAGCAGTTCATTAATTTTCCTTGCTGCGTAGAATTATGACAATTCATTTATCTGTTCTGCTCGTGATGGACATGGAGTTGTTTCCATTTTTCGGCTGTCGTGAATAATGCTGCTGTGAACATCCAGGTGCACATGCACCTGATCTGTAGCCACCTGAAGTGCTGCACATTGAATCCGCGCATCACCTGGGGAGTGCTGCCATTCCAACAAAGCTCAGTCCTCCGATCCACGACGGAAGATGTCTTGCAACTTCCTCATATTTAGATCTTCCTTCATTACTTTCAACAGTGTTTTGTACTTTCATTGGCAAGTCTTGAACTACTTTTGTT